ACACTCCCACCCAGTTTGGTGTCATCTGCAACCTGGCTGAGGGTGCGCTTGATCCCCTCGTCCAGATCATTGATAAAGATATTAAACAGGACTGGCCCCAGAACTGAGCCCTGGGGGACGCTGCTTGTGCCCGGCCACCAACTGGATTTAATTCTGAAGACCACAACTCTCTGGGGCCAGCCATCCAGCCAGTTTTTTAGCCAGCGAAGAGTGTGCCTGTCCAAGCCATGAGCCGCCAGCTTCTCTATGAGAATGCTGTGGGCAACGGTGCCAAAGGGCTTGCTGAAGCCCAGGTAGACACCATCCATGGCCTGTCCCTCATCCACCAGGCGGGTCACCTGGTCACAGAAGGAAATCAGGTTGGTTAGGCAAGACCTGCCTTTCATGAACCCCTGCTGGCTGGTTCATTGGGAATGCTCTTTCCATGGTGTAAATACCCACACCTCCAAAAATGAAGCTGATTTATGCTAACCAAAAAAAAAAAACCCCAGCCGAAGTCAGTAGCCAGTGTGTGGGTGTTACCTGAGTGAGCGTGAGAACGTGGCCCAACGCCGAAAGCAGAAGCGAAGCTGGCGAGGCTGGTGTTGGGCGCTCGGTCGTCCCTCCCTCGATGACTTTGTCGCTGTTAGCTGCAGCGGGGGGCGAGCTGAGGTCCGCTTCGGCACAACAGGCTTAACCCCAACAACGTTATTCGGCATAACTGTGGCCGGATGGGCAGGAATTGTGATTGCTCCTAGTACCTCTCCCAAGAAATAACTGGGAAAAGCCATCCCCCTTCGGCTTCAGCCAAAGGGAGTTGCCCAGGAGCACTGGCTCATCGGCGCTAGCCCGCACAGGCGTGAAATGCTCCGTCCGGATGCTATTTTAGTTCAGATGTTTGCTCCTTATTCTTCTGGTGCTTTACTTCCTTTTCCTTCCCTTTTCCTGAGCCTCTACCGCTGGCAATGTCTGATGTCAGGTTGGATTCCTGCTTGATTGCTTCCCATACCTTAATTTCTCTTTTTTTTTTTTTTTTTTTCTCTTTTCCCCTACTAAACAAGTCAGTCGTGTTCCATTAACATCTCCTCTCGGGGCGCGCGAGCTGGCCTTTTGTATCCTTCGTTCCTTTCCTCCTACTTGCTGCATCTGTGGATTCCTCCTCTTTAACCTCCATACGCTGCTCGGAGCTCAAGCCCGGGCTCTGTTTCTCTCAAGTCTATTGTTCCCTCAATTCTAAATAGAAACGAGCCCTAATCTAAAGGCTCGAGCACAGAGCTGGGAGGTGAGAAATGCTAATTCCAGCTCTGAAAGTTGCTTGACGTGAACTTTGCCAGCAACTGAGCTGCATCCCTGGCATCTTTTCTGTAAAAAGAGGAATTTTATTTTTATTTTTATTTTTATTTTTTCCCCTCTTTCGGGGTCCATGCAGTGCTTAGCAGTTGAAAAGCACAATAAAACATGCAGCAGAGCTTCACGTGGAGCTTAAGAGACGGGGATGCCGCAGTCGTGGCCGTTCCTGGGGCCAGTCCTTGCTGTGTTCCCCTCGGACAGCCGCGTCCCCCATGGCATACAGCCGTCCGGGCGTTTGCCTTGGGTTCCTTTTCTGCCTTCAGCCCCGCCTGGTGTCCCCCTCACTGTTTCTCTGCTCTTTTTTGCAGATCCCCCTCCTGCACAGCCACCTCCGCCCGCGGAAGGGGTGACCCCACCTCCGGCAGGAGCCCCGCCGGCCTCGGCCGCTCCCTAAGCAGTCAAAGAAGAAGGAACTTCTACAGCAACATAGTGGTGACCAAAAATGAATTTATCAGTTACCTTCTGTTCCCCTGGGAGGTTTTCACCTCCCGTTGGCTTCCCCGGTCGTGTATGTGTGCACATACATACACATCTGCAAGCACACACACACAGCATCTTCCCCCCCACCCCTCCCCACCGCCCGTGACCTGGCAGTGCTTGGCATTCCTTTGGGAAAGCTTTAGATCAAAGGTGCCAGTCGTGCCTCCCATGTTGCTGGTGGGAAGTCCTTTACGCTTTGGTCTGCTTGCCTTTCGAGTGTGCTCGACTCTGGTTTCTTTCGTCTTGGTGTTTTGAGCTTTGGGTTCTCCTGGGGAGGGTAAAAATTAAAAAAAAAACCCAAACCCCAAGCTTTTAAGGTGGAGACATTCACTGAGCTTTAGGATGTAGCACGTGCCCGCTCCGCCTGTGATTTAAAGTTTGGGGTTCTCCAGGTAGAGCAAAGCATCAAGCTCGGATGCCAAACCAGTGTTTTGAGCAGAGAAGGAAAACAAGGGCGTTCTGCAGCGCAGGTTTTTTTTCAGCCGTGTTGGTTACAGATATCTGATCATTAAGGACAGCAGCCGAGTCCTGGGGCTGCCTCGCTAACTTATTAAAGAAAATATTGATCCAGTGCGAATGAAGCCAGGAGTGAATCAATTGGAATAAAACCACTCAATGGTAGGAGTTTTCTTGCTCCAGTTTTTACCTTTCTTTTGCCTTTGAAGGTGGTAGTGGAACCTTCCCTCTGAGTAGTTTGGTACAGTAGCCAACTGAGGAATAAACCCCATGATTTTTAGTCCCTCTTTTTGGAGCATATACTTTTTACTTTTTAAAATGAACAAAACAAAAAAAAAAAAAAAGAAAAAAAAAAAAGTAGGTAGCGAAGAAGTGCTAGCGTACGGGATTTGGGTTGGGATGGCTGGGGTGCGGGTGCCAGAACTACCTCCTGCGGACAGCCGAGGGGGGCAGCGGCCGCGGCACGCGTCCTGGGGACGCCTCGCACGTCGCCTTCCGTGGTCTGCGGGCTTGCGGGCGAGGGAACGGCTTCAGCCGGCAAATCTAGGAGCATGCGTTGGGCGAGACCCTGCTGGTGGAGACCTCCAGCCGGCCAGAGCTGCTCATTTGCTCGGCGTTAGTGACTACAAAAGAAAAAATCCTTTGCTGGCTGGGGTTTGGCTTCTCCACCCTCTCCCTGGCATCAGAGGGTTTGAGAGGTTTCCTTGCCGAGGGTCTGAAGACTGCTCACTTAGCTAAAGGGCGGCTTTCAGCGACCGAGTGCGAGGTGGTGGTCTAAGGCTTGACCCGGAGAGAGATCTCCCAAATTATTTGAGCCCTGCAGAACCACTTATACCATAAAAACAAAAATTACTTGCTTTGAAGAGCACTCAGGTGATTGACTCATCGATATTAACGCTCGAACTTCCCCGGTCCTGAGAGGGCGCGCGCGTGGGGTCACCATTGCCGGGCTGCGTGCGCAGGCGATCGTCCGCAGCCCCGTGTCACTTCCAGCGCGGGGGAACGATGCTTTCCGCCGTCAAGCTCCGAGAAGCCACAGTGCCTAGCAGAGAACGGTCAGGGCCTGCCTGCCTTCCGCCTCCCACAAAGGAATTTTCATCCCCACTCTTCCCTTTCCCTCCAGGGTCTTTGGGGTGAGCATGGGCTTTTCTGGTTCAGACCTTAGTCCGGTTTAGAATAACCTCAGGTTGTTTTTAGCGCGATCAACTTCAAATATAAAGGATCCAGATGGAGACTTATTTTTTACTGTACTAGCGATGATCCTACAGAGTACCTGAATTCTCGACACTGTTGTGTTTCTGTATAAATGATACATGTGCTGACTTTTTCATCTGATCCTCTGTATAGGGCCGGTTTTATTCCTGCAACACAGCCACCCAATTTTGTGAAATAAAAAAAAGAAAAAGTGGTTTTTGTACAAAGCTTGTGCCGCTTTGTCTGGACTCTCCTTTCCCTCCCTGTGTGTCGTGGATGACCGTTCATACGATACGGATCTATTTTTGGGGCCGCGATCTTAACTATGCTGAAGTAAATACAAAGCCTGAGCTTGTTACCCGGCAAGGTGGGAGGCACCAAAGTAACGCGGGAAAGCGTTTGCATGGCACGCGTGCGGGGGGATCTGCCGCTTTGGAAAAAGTTATTTTTGGCTTTCAAAAGCTTAATGAAGGTGGACGAAGTAAAACGGCGTTCGAGGCCTGATGGGATTGTTTCTGTTTGATTCCTGCCGTGCTGACTTTGATGCCTGCTGTGCTGACTTGGGCAATTGCTCAGGCTCGCGCTCCCGCTTGAATCGCACGCTTGAAAGAAGTGCTCTGAAGTGGCAGATTTTAATAGAGGAGGTCCGGGCACGCTGACCTAGCCGGGTCCCACCGTTCCTCTGTTCCCGTCCCAGCTCTGCTGTTAATTGTTTAATCCGGGTGCCTGTTCAGATGGTTTGTCCTCTCCTGCGGGGCTCCAGAGGCTGCCAGGGGTAGTTTGCCTTTTTGATTAAACTGAAACTGAGAATCCAGCCTGGATTATGCTGTAAATGCTTCTGCTCCATCCCGTAGGAGCTTTTTCCTCTGAAGCAGTGTATGAACCAGGCGTCCTTGCGGCATAGTGCCCCCGCTCCCCAATTCCCTGAAGCTGAAGAAGGAGAAGGACAAGGGTGGAGATGTGCCCCCAGGTCCAGGACACCCCAATGAAAGCTCCATCCCCAACTGGGGATTCCTCCTCCGCTGGCATGGGAGGTCCCTAGGGCTGGGACCTTCTGCTGAGCACTCCCTTGGTGGGCTCCTTGCTGCTGCTCCTGCTTCGGGCCGGGTAAGGAAGGGCAGGAGCTCTTTGTGCCTCTGCGCTCCAGATGCCTTCAGCAAGGCCACTGCACCCTCCTCGTCCTCCAGCACGGTGAGCAATGGTCATCTTTCCTCCTCTCGTCTTGAAGGCCTCTTCCCAAAGGAAGGCAAAGAAGGTGGTCGATCATAGTGTCAATGCTTGAACGATTTTTTTTCTCTTTAGGGGCCTTTAAACCTTTGCAGTCACAGAAGGTGGCTGAGATGGGGCTGTTGCCTTGACGGTAATTAAAAGTGAAGTTGAGGGGAGGTCTAAAAGCAGTTTGGGACGATGCTTTTGACATATGGATGTTCAGATCCCCCGCGGCTGGCCCTAGTGAGGGGTGGGAGCAAGTCCCAAAGGGCCAGGGCCGCTCAGGCTGCTGGGGCGTGGAGCGGCGTGTGGTCAGGGCGAGCAAATTCATTCCCGTTGGCAGCTTTATGATCCGAACGCCGTAAGCTTGAAGGCAAGTTGAGCAGAAGGCTCTAAATTGTGGCTCTTCAAACCCAGCTCAGTGTCCAGAACCAAAGGTGGGTCCTTGGAGACCACGATGCTGTCAGGGTCAATGGAAGCTTCCCTGCTCAGCACTGAGCCCTCATCCAAAAAATCTGTCATCCCTCCTGATAATACGCATTGCTGGGGGGGGGGTTGCATCTTCATCTGGATAATTTCACCCTGCCCGAGGCGGGAGGGCTGGTGTGCAGGTTTCTTCTCTTGGCGCTGCTGCTGCCCCCTCGGCAGGAGGAGTGATGGGGCCGTGGACCAGGAGCGGGCGCTTGCAGCCCCTGCCTGCGCTTCGCTCCGCTCCTGATGAGATCCCAAGGCTCCCGATGCATCCTGGCTGGCAATGCCAGCTCCACCATGTGGCTCCTGAGAAGCTGCTTTTTTCTGGGTGGGTTTTTTTTTTTTCTTCTCCTGGCTGACTTAAAGCCAAAAATACACATGGGGACACCGGAAGAGTTTGGGGTGTCTAAATATGAGTGTGCGTTGTCCCCTGACACCATTATTTCAATTCCTCTGCCTTTCTCAAGAGAAACTTTGAAACGAAATGATGAAATCGTTTGGGTTGGCAAAGCCCTTTCAGCTCCCCCAGCCCAACCCTTCCCCTACCCCTGCCATCCCACCCCCAAACCCTGGCCCTCAGCACCGCCTCTGCCCGGCTGTTCAATCCCCCCAGGGCTGGGGACTCGACCCCTTCCCGGGGCAGCCCCTTCCAGCCCCTGACAGCCCCAAGGGGAAGGAATTGTTCCCCATGCCCAACCTCACCCTGCCCTGGCACAACTTGAGGCCGCTGCCCCTCGTCCCATCGCCCCTTCCCTGGGAGCAGAGCCCGACCCCCCCGGCTCCCCCCTCCTCTCAGGCAGTTGTAGGGAGCGATGAGGGCT